AGGACAAGGGTTTTGCTATCATCATTTACCATGTTTTAGAGTTTCAGGGAGGGTGGAAAGAAAGATATAACCATTTAAAACTAACTCATTTAACAGAAAATAGCTCAAGATAAAAGCAAAAATATTAAGCATATGTCATCTCAGGATATTATAGTCCCTATTTCTGCTATTCATCAATTTAACTGGTCATTACAAATAAGTACAATATTATGGCATTAGCCAAGATACTTAAAACTAAAAAGAGAGAGGAATGAAACTATATAATTTTAAAGAGTTAGTTTTAAAGCTTCTTTCATTTTGTCCTTTATATTACTTTATAAAAATAATTGGAAAATGTAAAAGTCAGTATAAATATCCACATTTTGACATTTGATTAATTTGTCAAAGATAAATGTTGACTCCATTCTTTTCAAGAATAAAGGGAGTTTAGGACATGTTTTCATCTTAATTTAATTTAAAAAAAATATATTAATTGCCTACTATATTCACAGAATTGTGCTGGGCACTCATAGAAAGATATATATAGTTTAGCTAAAACACAGCTCCCACTTTCATTGTTTCCTAGGTAGTAGAGAGCTATGGCAATACAAAAATCTGATATAAAATGGCAAACAGAATACACAAGGACATGTTTAGAAGTCAATTTGTGGGGACTTTCAGGGACAGAACCAAGATGGTAAAGTAGAAAAATCAACCAATCTCTTCCAACATTCTCCTCCAAACAATCTTAAAATAATGCCTCAAATTAAATTCTAGAGTAGTAGAGCTAACAAAAACTTGAGGTGAGACATTTTTCCAGTCCGACATCTTAGGAAGTTAGAAGGAGAGATATGTGACACTGGAGTGGATGTTGGCCTGGAGACTATGTGGCAGCAATACCAGTAGTGGTTAGAGTTAGGAAAGCAGCTTTGGAAGCTCTAAAACCTAACCTGCTAAGGGGATGAGGTAACTGGTCAGAAAGAGATTACAGGGGACCCCTGTGCTAGCGGTGGGTGCAGAACTGCAGAACCATTGCCTAGACCCACCTCTGGGTCACAGTTCTGGGGTGGAGAGGAGTGCTTGTTGTCCCAAAGGAGCAAGGGCCTTGAGGAACAGTATCTCTTCTGGTCACAAGGGAGCAGTGACTTCCCCAGATCATACTACCTTAGAAGTATTAAAAACTTCAAAATCCCAAGAACTAGCTCTGAAAACAACAGTGTGAAAAAGCCTAAAGTTGGGACAGTGTCTCCCTCCCCCCACCCTGACCCACCCTCTCCCCTAACCACCTCATGACTTTGGTTGTGAATAGGAACAGGACCCAGAATAAAGTTCAAGATCAAGAAGTTGGCTGGGAAAATGAGCATACAACAAAGAAAGAACTTGACCATCAAAAACTACTATGATGACCAGGAAGATCAAGACACAAACTCAGAAGACAACTTTAGCAAAGTTGGAGGATATAAAACAAACCCACATATATCATCAATATTTCCATATATTACCAAGAAAATCTGGTAGGAAGATTAGATATAGATATAGATATAGATATAGATATAGATATAGATATAGATATAGATATAGATATAGATATAGGTAGATATTCCATTTGATATAACTGCAGAAATAAAATATTTGTAAATCTACCTGCCAAGACAAACTCAGGGACTAAATGAACACAATTGTAAAATGCTTTTCACACAGATAAAGACAGATCTAAACAGTTGGAGAAATATTAATTGCTCATGTATAGGCTGAGCCAATTAAATAAAAATGACAGTTCTACCTAATTAATTTAATTATTCTGTGTCATATCAATCAAAATACCAAATAATTATTTTGTAAAGTTAGAAAAAAACTTATGAAAGTAATCTGGAAGAACAAAAATAACAAATATAGAGGGAATGAATAAAAAAATATATTAAGGAATGTGGCCTAGCAGTTCCAGGTTTCAAGCTATTTTACAAAGTGGTAATCATCAAAACAATCTGGTACTAGCTAAGAAATAAAGTGGTATATCAGTGAAATAGATTATTTACCCAATTTTTGTTGTTGTGCAGCTGTTTCAGTCATGTTCAAATCTTCATGACCTCATTTGGAGTTCATGTGGCAAAGATACTGGAGTGCTTTGCCATTTCCTTCTCTAGCTCATTTATAGATCAGGAAACTGAGGCAAATAGGGTTAAGTGACTTGCCCGGGGTCGCACAGCTAGTGTCTGAGGCCAGATTTGAACTCAGAAAGATGAGTCTTCCTGATCCCACTCTATCCACTGTTCCACCTCGATGCCCCAGTGCACAATAGTAAACAACCATAGTAATCTAGTATTTGGTAAACTCAAAGATCCAAGTTTTGGGGGCAAGAACTCACCATTTGAAATTAAAAAAAAAAAAGATGCTGGAAAAAACTGGAGAGCCATTTGGCAATCAACATTCCATAATATATATCAATATAAGGTCAAAATCGGCAACATGTTTTAGACATAAAAGGTGATAGAAGCAAATGGAAAACTTTACCTGTCGGATCTATGGATAAGGGAAGAGTTTATGACCAAACACGAGATAGAGAGGATCATGGGAAGTAAAATGTATAATTTTGATTACATGAAATTAAAAAGGTTTTGTACACGCTAAATAAAAGCAGTCAAAATTAGAAAAAAAACAGGAAACTAGGGGAAATGTTACTCCAAGTTTCTCTGATAGAGGCCTCATTTCTCAAATATAGAGAACTGAGCAAAATTTTAAAAATTAGAGCCATTTTCCAATTGATAAATGATCAAAGGATATAAACAGGAAGTTTTCAAAAGAAAAAATCAAATCTATCGATAGTCACATGAAAAAATGTTTTAAATCACTATCAAATAAAGAATTGTAAATTGAAACATCTCACACCTATCAGATTGACTAAGGTGACAGAAAGGGGAAAACAAATCCTGCAGGGGATATGGAGAAATACACTAATGCCCTCTTTGTGGAGTGATAAATTCAAACAATCCATTCTGGAAAGCAATTTGGAACTATGTCCAAAAGGCTATAAAACTGTGCATATCCTTTGACCCAGCAATACCAATGCTAAATACTCTATCTCAAAAAGATCAAAGAAAAAGGAGAAGGAACTATATGTACAACAATATTTATAGCAGCTCTTTTTGTGGTGGCAAAGTATTAGAAATAGAGGAAATGCCTACCAACTAGGGAATGGCTGAACAAGTTGTGATACATGATTGTGATGGAAGACTGTTATGCTATAAGAAATAATGAACAGGATGGTTTCAGAAAAACCTGGGAAGACCTATGTAAACTGACACAAAATGAAGTGAGCAAAACCAGGAGAACATTGGACCTGGTAAAAGTGATATTGTAACTATGATCAACTGTGGAAAACTCAACTACTCTGATCAATATAAGGATCCAAGCCAATTCCAAAGGACCCATGATGAAAAATGCAATCTACCTCCAAAGAAAGAACTAAAGAAATCTGAGTGAAGATTGAAACATAAGGTTTTTTTTTTCATTTTCTTTATATTTCTTGTTTTTTGCTGTTGATGATAATGTTTTCATAACATGGCTAATGTGGAAATGTTTTGCATGACCTCACGTGTATAACTGATATATTACTTACCTTCTCAATGTGTGAGGGAGGCAAGGGAGGGAGGGAAGGAGAGAATTTGGAACTCAATTTTTAAATTAACATTTAAAATAAATAACTTTTAAAAAATGAATGCATGAGGGATGAGGTCCAAAGAAAAATAAGGGGTACAGTCCAAAGGGTCATTATTGGCTGAGATGATAAGGAAAGGAGGTAATTGTGGCATTTGATTAGGCCTTAAAAAACAAGGAGAAGTTGAACTTATGGGGGAGGTGGTCAGAAAGGTGTACCAGACATACAGAAAAAATGTGGGTCATGTGTGGAGCGGAATGTGCAGTCTACATTGGCTAGAATTTAGAGTGTAGGGAAGAAATTGGTATAACATAAAGCTAAAAATGTAGGTAGTACCAGTCTGTGGAGGGCTGGTAAATGTTTAACACAGGGTCTCAGGTGAAAATGAATGTATGGCACATTTTTAAAATTTAATTTGCATTATTAATATTTTCCATCACTAAATCAATAAATCAAGCCCTGATTTATAGCATCTACCAAAAATGCTTATACAGAAAATTAATAATCAGCTCTCACAAGCTGGTGTAAGCTATCTCCACCATACCACTGAAGGTATCGAATACCAAGCAAAGGAATTTGAATTTTATTTTATAAGTGATAGGGACCTATTGAAGAATTTTAGCAAATTTATAGATGGAGATATATTCATGCTTAATCAGTGAGGACAATAGATGATAAAGTTGGTTGTGTCTATTTTACAAATGGAGATGCTCAGGTATACAGCCTCATCATTTTCCTGAGCGTAATACAGGCCATCTTGGTAAACCAGACACTTATGGGAGTGATTTCAATGCTTTAAAGCCACAAGGGTCATATTTAATTTGATGAAATAGCTACTAAATCTATTAGTAACCTTATGGCCTGAAAGACAAATAAGATCATAGAGAATTTAGAGCTAAAAGTCACCATTTAGTATAATCTCTTGTTTTAGTAATGAATGACTGAATTGATGGATGGATAGATGGATGGATAGATAGGTGAATGAATGAAAAAGACTATTAAGTTACTATGTAACAGGCACTCTCCTAAGTGCTGGGATTCCAAATATAAAAGAGGGACAATTCTTTCTCTCTCTCTTCCTTACAAAGACAACCTTTGCAGGGGAATGGTGGATAGGTAAAGATATTTTGTTCTGGGAAGTCTAAGTGCTGTAGAGTAGTAGATTGACATCTCCTTTCCAGAAGCAATGGTTGTGTTGGTTTGATTGCTATTCCTAAAGTACGAGGTAGAGAGGTCATGCCCACATGGAGGCATGGAAAGAAGCTGATTGGAGACAAGCATGATAAGGGATGTGGAGATAGCTTGATATAGTGGCCTCTCACTAAGCATGAAGCCAGGTCTATGGGTGCAAATCTGAATGGCTTACCTTTTCCAGAACGTAGTTTCCAAAAGTTCTGTTTGGATGTGCAACAGTAGAAGAGGCAGCAGAAATGACAGGGGAGCATGGGAGGAAGCTGGCCAGGGAAGAGCATGGTTAGGGAAGGAAACTGAGGCCAAGAAATTTGACTTACGTTACAAAGCTAATAAACAAGGTTCTAACATTTACTATCTGCATGACCTTTGGTGAGTCATACAAGCTCTCTAGGGGTGTACTGGTAAATGTTTAACAACTGGCTTTTGATGTACACAGAATATACTTTTAATTTACATAATTAACATTTCCACCATCATTTTCTTAAGTCTAGACAATCAGCAAAACAATAAATCAAGCCCCGATTTGTAGTGTTTGCCAATTGCTGAGGTATACTCCTGCTGAAAATGGAGTAGTCAGTCCTTGCAAGTGGTACATGCTGGCTCCTGAATAGCTACATCTCTGGGCTCCAGCTATCTCAACTATAAATAAGGGCATATGACCTCAAAAGTTTCTTCCATCTCCAAATCTATGATGCTATTCTTCTAAATAGTGGAACAGTGAAATCTGCACACAGCTCCTTTGATTCCTAAACTAGTGTCTCTTTCTGATCCTCCATGCTGTTTCCACAAACACTCCATTATGAAGCCAAGAAATGCTTGATGCATAATGTTGACTTTGCCCCTGGATTCTTTATTTTTTTAAGTTTCCTTTTTCTCCATTGGGTAACTCATGGACCATTAAAAACAAAAATGTCCATCTTTCAATAATTAGCTTAGTTACAAAAGTGCCCCCTCATTTGGAATACAACTTTGTTATTTAATTTTTTTTTTCTTTTTTGCTTTGGCACTTAACTCTCCTGTCTGCATTTTCTTAAAAATGTAGCTGCTGATGTGGGTAGAAAAAGCATGAGATTTATGCATTTTGTACACTGGAACACTTTGTAATTCTCAGATTTTATGCAGAAACTGTCAACTCAAGGGGCAAACTAATGATTTATAGATAGAAATAAGGGTTTAAATTATAGCACTGCCAAGCTGTTCCCTTTGGAAAATAGGGAGTTACAGGAGGACTATATCCACAGACCTAGAAAACTCCCTTCTCTTCTCCAAGGGTGTGGATGATAAGCAGTTTTCACCATCTTGATGAATAACTTCTGTTTCACCCACTGAGTACTTGTCTCTCAAAAACCCCTTATCTAAGTTCCCAGTTATCTTCTTCTGAAGGAAAAGGAAAGGTTTTAGAAATAATAATAGTAATCTTTTGAGGTATTGGCTATCAAAAGACTGCTTTAAAAATTATGATAGCCTCTAAAATTGTTCACGAGTCTTGAAAGTGATAGAATAGTTATGGTTCAGAAGCCTAATAGCTTAAAAAATATGAACTTGATCCAAAATAAAATTATTTCCAAAAGCTACATTATGTAATAATGTTAGAATTATAAGAGCCAACTAAGGAAAGGAGAACTCATGCACACCTTTCTTATAAAAACATAACTCAGCTTAATCAACAATTGACTCTGGCTGGGGGTCATGTCAGGGGAAATAATATCTTATCAGTTTAGAACCAGTTTTTCCATCAATACTAACCTGAAAAAATTAGAAATTAAATAAAAACTATAGTTTCTCCCTCAAGAGCCCCCCTTTTGCATTCAGAGAAACATGAGAAGACTTGAAAGAACTTATGAAGAATGAAGAAGAACCAAGATGACAATGTACACAATTATTACAATAATGTAGATAAAAAGAATGTTAAAAACAACTGAATGCTGAGTTGTCTTACTCCAAGAGAAGAGATAAGGAGTCATCTCCCCCTAGTTTTTAGAGAAGTAGGGGGCTGAGTATAGAATGCCTTCTATGTCATGGGACCTGGTCATTACATTGATGGGATTACAAAGGAGGGTTGAAGGGTATGGTGAAGGAGGAAGCACAGTAGATCTAAAAATGACTGTAATGTGGTCAATCTGTAAGTATCTTTTAAGTACCTACTAGTGTGCTAGATAGTATATTAAGTGCTGAGGTTACCAAAAACATCTACTCTGAAGAAGCTTAAGTTCTATCCAGGGACATAATATACATATGTAAACATTTGGAGAATAATATTTGTACATAATCAATGTCAAAACCCAAAATAATAAATGTAAGGGAATTTGAGAGGGGGGCACAATTGGTTAGGTTTCAGGAAAGCCTACATATATAGTAGATAGTGCTTGAACTGCATCATGAAGTATGAGAAACAGGCTGTGTGGTAGAATGAGAAAGGAGTTCATTCTAAGCATGGGGCACAGTCAGTACAAAGACATAGAGACACTGTGAGTGAGGAAGATAAAGAAGGCTAATTTGGCCAAACTGTGGGATGTAGGAAAGGGAGTAGTGTATAATGAGGCTGGAGAGACAGATTCTCAAGGGCTTTAAAAAACCAAACAAAGAGCTTTTATTGTATCACAAAGTCAATAGGGAGCCACTGCACTTTAGTGAGAGGAGGAATAACATGGCCAAATCTTTTCTAATGGAAAATCACTTTGGCAGCTGTGGAGAAGGGTTTGGAATGGGTAGATATTTGAAGCGGGGAGGCTAGTTACATGGAATATTCTACTCTTCTAGGTGCGAAATGATGAAATCCTAGAATGAGATGGTTTGTGAGTACAAAAGGGGTTGAATGCCAGAGATATTGTGGAGGTAAATGACAAGATTTGGCAATGGACTTGATATGTGGGATGAGGAAGAATGAGATGTCCAGGGCAAATGAACTGGGGAGACCTGTAGGCAGAATGTTAATAGGTGACATTGTCAGATAGCCCTTTACTGTTTACATAATGCTTTTCTGACATCATGCCAATCGCTTCTCACAACAATCCCGAGAGGTACACACTACTAGTAATAAATGGCGCATCTGATTGTTCAGTCATTTTTCAGACTTTCCGTGACTCTGTTGGAGTTTTCTTGGCAAAGATACTGGGGTGGTTTTCCATTTCCTTCTCTGGCTCATGGGAAACTGAGGCAAACAAGGTTAAGTGACTTGTCCAGGGTCACTTAACTAGTAAGCTAATAAGTATCTGAGGTCAGATTTGAACTCAGGAACATGAGTCTTCTTGACTTCAGGCCAAGCACTCTATCTGCTGAGCCCTCTAGCTGCCCTGTGACCTCTTTCAAGTTTGTAAAGTACTTTGTATATATTATCTCATTTGAGCTTTACATCGAGTACCACAAGCATTATTGTCCCCCTTTACAGATGGGAAAACTGAGCTTCAGAGAGAGGATACAAAGACTAAAAAAAAACCAGTCTCGGCTCTCAAGTGGCTATAGGTTCAAAGGATCCTGTATTTAGGGACCACAGAGGTGATATAGTCCTGACACTCAGAGAGGTTAACTGAATTACCAAGGTCACACAGGTAGCAAGCATCAAAGCTAGATTTTTCTTTCTTTTTTTTTTCTTTTTAGGCAATTGGGGTTAAGTGACTTGCCCAGGGTCACAAAGCTAGTAAATGTCAAATGTTTGGTCTGAGGCCAGATTTGAACTCAGTTCCTCCTGACTTCAGGGCCAGTGCTCTATCCAGTGCACCATGTAGCTGCCCCTCAAAGCTAGGTTTTTCAACCCAGGTCCTCTAATTCCAAAGTCATGCTTCCACAAGTGTCTGTTATAGGACAGGCATTGTGTAAAGTTTGGGTGATTCAAATAAAAAAAAAATCCCCACTCTCATACAGTTTACACTCTATCAGGGGAAACAATACCTATAAATTGGAAAGATAAGAAGTAAATCCATTATATGTTGAAAAGGAATAGCAAATTATACATTATAAATTTGCAGTTTCATGTGCAATCATTTTTTAATTGTGCTATGTTAGGGAAATGTTTGTTTTATTCCATAAATTTTAAAAAGTAAAAAATAAATAAAAAATAAAAAGTGCTAAAAAAAAAAGAGAAGCAAATGCAAACCATTTCTTACTAATGCTTTCTACCTTACAGGGTACATGTGACAATCAAATGAGAAAATCCATATTACTCACTTTGCAAATCTTAAAACCTGTTATCAAGTGAAAGGCATTGCCAAGCTGTCAGAAAGGTTCCAAGAAGGACACAATGATAGTGTGTTTGTTTGACATCAGAAGGTTCACCAACAGGTGATTAATTTTTCAAGTACCAAAAATCACTGGTGAAGTACCTATCTAGGCAAAATCATGTTTCACTGAGCATATTCCCCACAGTGCATTGGACAAGGCCATTCTAACAAAGTAATTAGCCAAGCACTGCTCAGTGGAGGCTCCCAAGCTGATTCCCATCCTTGCCTTTTATCTCCCTCCTGATTTGCCCACAGATCCATATTTGCTCAGGGATCCAGAGATCTCCAAAGGGGAAGTAGGTTCACAATTCTTACAGTTGTTGGTTAACCCTAGCTACTCTGGGGACAATTGTTTTTTACAAAAGTTTTAAGAGTTTTCTTATCAACTAGGGAAAAAATGGTACCCAAAGTAAAATCATGAATCAGGTACAGAGATAACAGAGACAAGTGGATTCTAAGTCAAATAGTGAATCATTCAATACATATTTATTTCTAGTTTACTGTGTACTAGGCACTTTGTTAAGTGGTGGGGATACAAAGAAAGGCAAAACACATAGTCATTGCCCTCAAAGAGCTCACCTTTCAACGAGGGAGAGAACGCAAACACAACTAAATATGGATTGGGGTGGTTAGGTGGTGCAGAGAATAAAGCAACCAGCCCAGGGTCAGGAACACTTATCTTCTTGAGTTCAAATCTGGCCTCAGACATTTACTAGTCGTATGACCCTAGGCAAGTCACTTAACCCTGTTTGCCTCAGTTTCCTCATCTGTAAAATGAGCTGGAGAAGGAAATGGCAAACCGCTTTTTTCTCTCTTTGTGTCTCTCTGTCTCTGCCTCTGTTTCTGTCTCTTCTTATGTCTCTGTCTCTCTCTGTTTGCCTGCTCCTCTCTGCTCCTGCTGCTCTTGCCATTGTGACTGCTCAGGTAGGGAAGGATGGCAATTACCTTTGGAGTTGTCACAAGATCCTATAACAGTGGTAAGAAGACACAAACAGGAAGTAATCACGTATAAGACATACGCTTGCCTAGGAGACTGTG